GCGCGGATTCGCCGATCTTTTTTCGTTAATTACTCAGTACTTATTATGAAAATTAAAAAATGGTAAAGGACTTTTCTACTCGATTTGACCTCCTCTACCTGTATATGACCGGTGGGGCGATTATTGCCAGACACCCTGTATATGAGAAACTTTATAAAATTGAGTAAAGTAAGATATATAAAAATATTTTGTGCGCTAAAAAAGCTGCATTTATATAAGTATTGAATATGTTATAAGATATTATATTTGTGTGTAAATATGTATTTTGTAATATTTATATATGTATTATATATGATATATAATTGTATAATACAATATTGCTACTATTGCAAATTTATTGCGCTATTCGTTCTTCTCAGTATAGTATTAAATTTTGTATATATGTAATTATGTACAATATTTGATAATTGTTATTATAAATTGCGTGAAATCTACTTTAATTTAGTTAATTTACTGTAGTTTAATAATTATACCGTGTAATTAAGTCCTGCAAAAATTCTCAAGCTTAGTTTAAGTTAAGTCTTAAGCTTAGTATTAATATATAATGTAATGTTTTATAAGGATTATACATAAGTGTGTTTTATATTTACTCGCAATATGCTGCTAAATATTATTACAATATTATTGTATATATAATTTTGTAAATTGTATGCATGTACATGTACTTTGTGTGTTATTTATGTGTATGATATATATATATATATATATATATATATATATATATATTATATATGCATACACATATACACATACTATATTACATTATGTGAAATATATATTAGTAATCTAAAAGTGCAAGAAGAAGAGAGAAGCAAGGAAGAGAGCATCGAGGACCATCGTGGGGATTGCAGAAGCTAGCCAGCTGATTGACAAGTCTGCATGGTTTCTGAATCAGGTGAATTCAGGGCCAAATCAACATTTGTAACGAAAAGAAATCATTTATTTTCATTCGTTTTCAGTGCCAGACTGAGGACGTGTTACTGAAAATGTTTCACTGATAAAAATGCCAAAATAAAATGAAGTGAAACGAAACGAAATGATAAGAATAAATGCAGCAAATATAATTTCTTACTTTTCGTATGTATTATTTGAATATTCACGGAATTGTAGTCGCAAAAAATTTAAATTATATAACAAATTGTATAAAGCTCTCGCAATTTTTAATTAAGTAACACGAAAAACGGTACGACTAGATATTATGCGTTTAATCTTTTTTATATTTACAAAAATGCTTTGAAAATACAAATACAAACGTTTCGGCCGATTATTCGACTATCCTCATGCATTAAATTAAAAGAATTACTATGAGGATAGCCGAATGATCGACCGAAATATTTATATTTGTATTCTTAAAAGCATTTTTGTAAATATAAGAAAAATTGACGTATAATATTTAATTGCAGCTCTTGCACCGTTTTTCATGTTATTTAATTCAAAATTATCTTTTTTACGCTGGACTTGAAAGCCGTTCAACGTTACAAATGTTGCTTTATGTACTTGATGATTTTATAACTTTAGTTATTGATTTTAACCAATCTGGGTAATATGGCAATTATGTCTTGTTCGTTTTTTCAGCGAAAATGACTTTCAAAAAGTGCAGTCATCTTACAAAAGGTTCACGCAATTCTTTCGTTCGAATTTTTATCAAATAAGTGTCTTCCATGTGTGAAAAAAAAAAAAGAAATAGTCTCGCTGACGGAGATACGGAAAGAAATTTATGGGTCGAATAAAGTTTCTTTTCTCTCTATATACGAAGTACCTTAACACGATTAATTTTTTCAGTATATCTCGGGATTTCAAATTCTGTTACTAACAACGTATTCTGTGATATACGCAGCGACGTTCTCCGCGCGTTCTAATCCAGTTTTGATCAAGTACCGCAGTGTCACAATAATTAGCTTAAAAGAAGGAAAAGCGTAAACGCATATTCGGTATTTCTGCAACACGGCCAATCTGTCAAGTACTGTACTGAACTTCTGTCAACAGGTATTCCGGACCGCCACCGCCGCAGCGCTTCGGCAGTCCTCTGAGGGACCTTCCGCCTCACAAGCGATTCGACGATGTAGCGCCGCCCGGTACCGAGGGCTACTACGACCTCTCGCCGCCGGGCGTCGAGCATTCCGAGAGACCGTTGAGGGATGATCGCGAGCGACAGCGTTCTTTGCGGGATCAAGAGGACCGCGAGCACTCGTCTAAGGATCGTGATAACGAGGAGCGCGACAGATTGAGAGATGACAGGTAACGTTGTTGTGCGAAAAATGCGAAATAATTTCTCTCGTAAAAGCAAGAGATTGTTAATTGGCTTTCTTCAACCTTATATTTTACAAGAAAATATTACAATTGTACATTTGAAAAGAGTAATATTTTCCTTCTATTGTCTCATCCTAGATTCCACCAAAAGAACCTTACAAATATTATAGATATACTCTTTATGAATGGAGATCCCTCTTCCGTTCATTTTTAACAATATACGTACGAGACTTAAATATCATTTCTTTAAAAAGGACAATATGACTAAAGACAATAATAATTTTAACAATAAAAATGACTCTGACAATAAAAAATATTTTGTCTTACCATATGTTAATGGAATTTCTGACAAGTTTTTCTTCGTAGCAAAAAAATACAATTCAATATTATCGTTCTCTCGTTTCAACGACTTAAGCATGTTCATTAAAACGCACAAAGATAACTTAAACAAATTCTCACAGTGCAATGTAGTGTACAAAATTTCTTGCAATGATTGCCAAGCAACATATATCGGACAGACAAAAAGACAACTGAAAACCAGAATTAACGAACACAAGAACAACATTAATTCCAACAATCTCTCTGTAATATCGTTGACAGGGAGAATTCTTATTGGAAGAGACTGACATCTGAGATGATTCAAATTAAACGCCAAAAATCGGCCATAAATAAACAGAGTGACACAGACCTTCTGTCCGAGTCTATTTACCACTCATTAAATTGTTACCGTCCTAATTCTCCTTCCAAAATTCTGCCTCCTATAATAATTTCAATTTCTACCGGTACCGTACGTTTTTACCTGTTTCGTCCTCACACAGTCAGCCACTGACATCACTAGGCGTTAACAAGAAAATCGTCTCACAAGCAATTTACAATTTAGATGTTTTTTGATTTTATTCAATGTGTTTCTCTCGACCAGTTTTTTTTCTCTTTTTTCTGTTTTTTCTTTTCTAATTCTGGTCATCTTTTATTATACAGTATTGTTCACTTATTACTCACAACATGCGATTGAGACTGTGTTTAATGGATTTTTTAATTATCAGGTATGTAACAACGATTCAAATTACTTTGCCGAGAATGTTTTTGTAATTTTTTAACTGTCGAATTTTAGCTATTGTACTGAAGGTGGCCCGATAGTGACCGAAACGTATACTTGTTAATAAAGAAAATTTGGAAAAGGAATAATCAGCAAAGAACACCTGACATTGGCTCTCGATCCCACTAATCATTACATTTTATTAATTTTTGTGAGCTCTTTAAGATTTTATTTTACTTTAGTAATATTTTCCTTGCGTTTAAAGGAATCGCGACCGTGAGGATCGTATGCGCGAGAGGGACGAGAGAGATCGCAGAATCGTAAATCGTGAACGTGAGGATCGCGACAGGCAAGCCCCGCCGAGGGATCACGAGGAGAGGATACGGGAGAAGGACGAGCGCGACAGAAGGGAGAAGGAGAAAGAACGGGACGATAGACACATTCGTGATCGCCGAGACGATGATAGGCACGTCGAGAAGAAGGATTATGACAAGGATCGGTACGTTCGCGAACTGCAATGCGCGTTAAACAATTTGTTGAACAAATATGTCATTTGATTTTTTTTTCTTACAGTTACAGAGATGACAGAGATCGTCACAGGCAAGATGACAAGAGTCGGCCGCGTGAGAAGGAGAGACGCGAGCGCGAGTACGAATCCGAGAAGGATAGAGATCGCCACGAGAGATATGAGAGGCGTTCGGTAGAGCGGAAGAAGAACAGGAAGAGCTCAAGTCCGTATTCGCAAAAGTCGAGAGGCGATCTTAAGGACCTGTCACCGGAGCGGAGCAAGAAAAAGGAGAAGGATCACGAGGAAAAGACGGAGGAGAAGAAGAAGGAGAAGAAGATCAAGGAGAAGAAGAAGAAGAAGGACAGCGAGGAAAAAGAGAAGAAAAAGAAGAAGAAGAAGGACAAAAAGTCGAATCAGAAGGAGGCGCTCAAGGACGACTCGATGAAGGCGATGGAAGCGGAGGACGCGCTAGCCGAGAATAAAGCGACGAATGACACTCTGTCGCTCGGCAAGACCGATTCAGTGAAGACGTGCAACGAGGAGGACAACATCGAGAATCGGATGGAGTGCATCTCTAACGAGGCGTCCATCATGCCGATCAAGGAAGAATTCGAGGATAAGTCGCTAGCGATGAATCCGGAACCGCCGGAATTCAACGAGCCCAGTCCCGGCAGCGGTCGGCTCGACCGCACGGAATTTGGCACGAATCCGCCGAATCCGAACTTCAAGCCGATCCCGGAGCTCAAGTCGGAAATGAAGATCGAGAGTCTCTACAGCGGGCTCGACGACGCGGAAATCAACACTGTGATCACTGAGAAGTACACCTTACTGTCGGAACATCCGCCGACCGAAACGAAGGAAAACGCCGCCATGCTGACCGCGAGCTCGGAGAAGTCGCCGAAGAAGGACGAGTTCTTAGCGCCCATACCGGAATTGTCCAAGTGGGAGCGGGACGACACGACTGAGAAACCCGATGACGACGACGACGAAGACGACGACGCGGCGACGGCGGCGGCGACAGCGACTGCGGACGGATCGCCGACGGAGAGCATGCAGCGCGAGGACGAGCCGAAGTCGATGAAAATGGTCACCTCGGAGGTGCTGAAGCGGGCGGAGAATGCCATATTCCAGAAGGCCATTAACGCGATCCGGCCGATTGAGATTAAGAAGATCAGCGAGAGCAGGAAAATTCTGTACCAGAATCCGGAGCCCAAGGTGCTGGAGGCGGTGACGGAGCCCGCTAATCGAGAGCCACGCAAGAGCGTTAACGTAACAATCAACGTCGGTAGAAACGAGAGGAACGTCGAGATCACCGAGCCGGTGAAGAAGGCCAAGCTCGATCGTACCAAATTCAAGCCGGTTCCGGAGACAGCCTACTCGCCAACCAGACTGTCCGCCAAAGAGAGACTCGGCGACAAGATCGAGGACGGCAAGGAGAGGAAGATCAGTCCTATAAAGGGATTCTTGGAGAGGCGCGACGCGAAGAGCGAGAATCAGTCGAGGAGCCGATCGCCCAGGCGGGAGAAGCGACTCTCCTCGCCGCTCTTGGAGCGGCGAGTGGATCCCCCGTCGTTAAGCTTGAGCGGCACGAGCGGCGAACGAAAGGTATTCCTGGAGGAGAGAAAACGAGACAACAAGGATAGAGGTGATCGGTCGAAAGACAGATCCGACTTCCGAGGCGATAGGCACGAGTTGCGATCCGACAGGGAGAGTAGAATTGATTTCCGCTCAAGTAGAAACGACATGAAGGACAAGGATCGCGACAAAGAACGGGATCGCGAGCGCAGAGGTAGGACACCACCTCCGTCGTCCTGCGCGTTCAAGAGAACGGAGATGTCGAAGATGGGTCTGTTGAAGTCGAAGGACGACGAGGAAGAGAAGAGACGTGACAAGAAGTCGTCGCGGGAGGAGAAGAAGAGGAAGAAGGAGCATCGCAGTAGAAGCAAGTCCAAGGAACATAAGAAGCGCAAGGAGAAGAAGCATAAGAAGGACAAGGACAAGAATCAAGAGAAAAAGCAAAAGCACAAGGAGAGCGCGGCCTCGAAGGACAAGTCGGACGGCAACGAGACCAAGATCGGTTACGAGAACATCGAGCCGCCTCTCGTTGCGGAATCGTTGAAGAAACAAAGGAAGAATCCGAAATTGGTGTCGGATCGCAAGCGCAGCATGCTCGACGAGGCGAGCTTCGAGCCCGATTACTCGGCTTCGGACTCGGAATCGGACGGCGAGGAGGGCAAGATGTTGCCGCCCGCGAAGAAGCTGAACTCGACGAAGCGGAGCTGAACAAAGAGATGGAGATGAAGTCTCTGAAGAAGTGGTCCAAGTCGAGCAGTAGCGAGGATACATCCAGCAGTTCCGACACGACAACCTCCGATTCGGACAGCAGTGACGAGTCGCACAAGAAGAAGAGGAAAAAGCACAAGAAGCACAAGAAGAAGAAATCTGCCAAGAAGGACAGCAGCTCGGACTCGGATACTTACTCGGACTCGTCCGACAGTAGCAGCGACGAGGAAAAGCACAAGAAGAAGTCGAAGAAATCGAAGAGCAAGAGCAAGCAATCGAAGAAGAAGAAAAAGTCCAAGCATAAATGACATCACTAGACACCTTTGATGTTCGCGATGACGAAATCTTAATCCGAAACAATGAAGAGAGAAGAATAGAACTTTTCTTCTTTGAGCGCTTACGATTATTATGAAAATTACTTTTACGATATCGTCCACGATACTGGAGGAAAGATTTTGCAGCATTGTTATTCGCATATTTGTTAGGCAGATTATGACATTGCTATAATTCAATGTAAAAAAGTTTTTTTTAGCAACAGGAATCATTTAACAGTAGGTTTTTTATTTGCGCGAAAGAAGGAAAAGGCATTTGGTGGCAAAACAACTTGATAGATCGACGAGCGGTGAAAGAGGGAAGAGTGTATATGATAGTCAAGTTGCTCTAATTTAAAAAGGCAGAAAGGAGAGAAAAGAACATTATATGGCCTTTACATAATCATCATCACGCTCTCGTTTAGCATATTTAAGTGCTGTATGTAAGTTTATTATTACGATAAGTGATGTACATTGTAGTCGATGTAACTTGTACTGATTTCATCAAAGGATAATAAGTCTCTACAGAAATCATAGTAATTATACGATAAATAAATTAGGAGCAACTTTATTTAGGATCTCCGCTGTCTCTCAGCATTATATTGTACTTTCATAATCTAATGTCAGTATATGTAAGAAAAATCACAAAATAAAATAGTAAAATTCTTTTAACAATGCTCTTTGTGTTTCATCCAATTGCACACATAGTGAGCGATTCCTTTATAAGTACATCTTGATATGTCACATGTACAGTTAGATATACGTAACGATGATTTGTTATGTAAAATTATACAATATAAGACTTTTCTTTTCTTTATTTAAATAACAAATATACAAATCTGTGTACTATATCTCAGTTTGTGCATGAAAGGCTCTCATACTTGTATGTAATACGCATATGAAATAAATAGCATTTAAAAATCGCGATTTTTTTCTCATCTCAAATGATCTACACTTTTGTTGCAAGGAATTTATAATTAAGTATTTTTTTAAATCGGTAAACGTTTGCACAAGACTGCACAATAGTGGTAAGTTCCTGCTCTTTTCGTTGTCTTTCACTCTTAAACCCTGTGTGAGAAGTGTACGATCCAAGGCATGCTTTGGGAGATCACATTCTGGAACAATTTTTTTTTCATTGAATTTGATATCACTTAAAAATGCATATATTATGTACAATTTTGGTCGCTGCATTATATTCTGCAAAACAAGAATGCACCTGCGATAAACACAGTGGAACTATATTTATATCCCATCCAATCCAGATACTCCCTAATGAGTTCATTAAGGAACACAATATCGTGTGACGGCTTGACAGTTTTTGATTTATTCTCTTTGCTGGAACAATCGAGCAGCTTTATCACTTCTGTGCGCATTTCTGCTTTTATGCGATCTAAGTCTCCGTCAGCCTTCAGTGATTCTCTTACAGCTGCAAATTCAAAATCATATAATGTATCAATTGTGCTTCAGAAACACGCCATTTATGCAATGAATGATAGCATGTGTACCTTTAATTAAGTTACACATAATATAAAAATAAAAAAATGTCTTTAATGAAAGGAAATTATTTTGTTGCGCTCCAATACGCTACATCGTGAAAATTATAGGTTACTTGACAAACATGTCATAGCTCAAACTTCAAAATGCTTATATGTGCAACATATGAATTATATGAATGCATACCATTCACTAGATCCTTTTCTGTCGCCATTTCACGCTGTATTAATATTTCATGGAAATTCGAAATATAAAATAATTGAGTCCATAAAGGCAGCCAAGGGAAGTATCGCTTCTTTCAAAATTCTTATCAAACTTCAATATCCTTTCGACATTTACTTCACTCGTTCAGTACTTGGATCTCGATATCGCTTGACATTTGTAAATACTGAACAGATTCACCCTCCATCACGTTCATGTTTGTCGTGAAAAAATGTCTGGAATCTCACAGCACAATTTTACATATATTTGCGAAATGCAATAAAAAATTTTTTTTAAATTCAAGTTTGCAAACACCGTTACTACACTAATCTCAGAAGCACGATCCTCCTCGGACCGGCATCAATAAATTTCAGTAGTACAACCTAACGTTAAGCCGGTCAATTTTTTTTATCGATGTTCGATAGTGCTGCTATCTTTGGTCGTACCGTTGAACTCAACTTTTTTTCCTTCAAAAAAAAAAAAAAATTGTTGCGACGGTTACGACCCCCCTGGTTCAGTTTCAACACCTAATCACCCTTCCACCACCTTCTCCTCCTTTCGAACTTCCTCCCGCCTTACGCTTCTCCCCATCCCTGAACCAATCGGGCTTGCTACGTCGCTCGCAACGACGACCGCGCTAGTTTGACGTTTTCGTTACAATCGAGTGGGCGACGAGTGAGGGAACGGCACGATTGCAGCAGCACAGCAGTGGCAAGCAGGCGATTTTGCTTCACGCGTGTGGTGCGCGCGCGCGCAAACTCGTGACTACGGCCGGCCCAGCAGCGACGACGATTTTCTTCCCTTCACGAGCGACAACTGTTATACTACCGTTCGCCGTCTCATCTGTATGTCTTGCGTACGCCCCTATAGTCACCGATTTTCCATGAGTGAGTTGTTTATTGATTTCAAAAAGGACGCTTAATAGCGCGACGCCGCAACGTCAACCGTCGTAACGTGACGAATTCGGGCCGAGTGTTTCGATCCGGCTATCAACGGCGTTGTCATCCGCACGTTTCACCGACGACGGAGGGAAGAGTTTTTTAACGACGGTTTTCGAACGGACAATCTCCTTCGTGCTCTCTGCCGTCGCGCGCCGTTGCCACGCTTCATCGCGATATGTAATTTCGCGTAACAGCGCTCGCGGATCGAAGCCCGTGGGCAATTGCACGTCCGCACCGAACAATACATTCGAGTTTCTCAGTGCAAGTCTGCAAGTCAAGTATAAAATGGCAGGTCAAAGAATTCTATGTATATATCGTGTGCGAGCTGCGCGAGTAAAATGGGAAACTGGATCGTGGAAATTGGATTAAATTGTTCCCGCGGCGATTCAAACCGTTACAATCGCTAGAAAGATGAATATGCACTTGTGTTACTTTTTTTCCCTTGGTTTCTCAGGATTACAAAATCGCTCTGTTGCATTTCTTGCTTTTCTTTATTTATGTCTTTTATCTTATTTGCAGATGTATCAATTCTGAGATATCAATATTGAGATACAGGTCTTTTTGGGGAGTCAAGATATCAATGGTTAATAAAATTTTACTTTTATATTTTTTTCTGATGGTTCTGAGCATCTCTGTTGAAAATAATTATGAGGATTCTTTCTATTAATAACTATAATAAAAGATTTTATTTAATTTGTTTGTCGAGTACGATAGAGATACTTATACATAGCTGAAAAAGATGATTAATTATAAATGATCTCTTATAACCTGACATTTTTATGAGATATTTAACTGTCTTGTGTGCTTTTATGCGCAGTAATTGAGCATCTATTCCTTTGCATTGCAGATGTTAACATTGTCTTCCCGCAGCTGCTGGTAATGCAAATATTCTTCCTTGATCTCAAGTCTGCAAGATGGTTCTCGTCGTCCAGTTTCAATTTTAGCTGAGAATAATACAGAAATGTGAGCAGTGACTGTGCATATTGACAAAATAGCACAGAGCATTCCCTCTTACATCATTTATGAATAAGTATGGAATGCAATCATTATTAATAATTTAATCTGCATTGATAAATTATAACAATCTAAATATGGCATTAAAGATGATAATCTAAGGTGCGTTGCTGTACGGTAGAATAAGTGCAATGTGGTGACTGGAAGAGCTTGTAGTAATTGAAGAAGATGTAATTTTGCTTGGATTACACTCGAATAAGTGAATGTGTCGTTACGATGCAATCTCCAATGTAGAAATAAATTTGTTTGTTAAAGAGCGAAACGAAATCGGCCCAGCTTGGTGGTAATGCGGGGATGTGGATCTGCTTCGACCCGATAGGAAGCCGAGTAGGCTGGGGTATTTCCATTTCGTTCGTCGCGCTCCTGTACTGGACGTCCATCACCATTGATGCCAGCCTGACGAATGCGGCTGCGTCCAATGTCCCTCGTAGCACCGTCACGTCGGATGTATCGCTACCAGCTTCGGCACACCACGACAACGACGAATGCAGGAATGTGACCACTGACAATAGAGAGGGTATAATTCTTCGCTTGTGAGATTGTTGCGGAATAACGGCTGCAATCGTCGCTTAATTGGTGAAATGTGTCGCATCTGTGCAGGTACTGGACTGTCAGTGGTCAGCCATGGATCCGGTTATCCTCATTCGCCGATAGTGCCTCCAAACTTTCTGTACGGAGCTCTTACCTGCCAACCCTACCAAGGAATTTACGTGAACCACATCTATTTTCAACTCGCAAATGCCTTCTTCCTATTGTCACACCTTGCACCGAGCGGCATACATGGTGTACTCTATTTAAGGTGCACTCTACTCGTGGGCTGTGCCTTTCTTGCTTTGTGGGGCTGGACAATAGCTTGCTGGCTGGACGCTGCTCTCTGGAATGCTCTCTTTGTTGCCATCAACTTCGTCCATGTATGCACGCTTCTTTACAAGCTCAGGCCTATCAAGTTTACAAGGGAAATCGAAGAGGTAAGGGAAGATCAGGTAAAAGGCATTGATTTGAGGGAGTACGGTCTCGAATATCTCTAATCTTGAAATCGTATATTATTTCTCTAGGCTCGTAAACCTCGTGGAAGTATTTATGCCCAAATTGTTTTGGTTATTCTAATAATCTATTCTATATACTTACATATATTAGAGGAATGAGTCGCAGAGTATACTGAGTAGTTTTCATGAGCCTATAGGCAGTTTATCGCAAGTTGCATGTCTATTTTATGTATGGGTTCTTGTAAATTATTGATAACATGTTGATTGGTTGTAAATTTAATCATTCAAAGGAGCGAGAAATAATCGGACCAAAATCAGATAACGATTTTTTAATTTAAAATGTAATATATAACAATTCCTTTTAAATATATGAAAACTTTTTATGCTTATTTATCCGTATTCTTCAGAATTACTCTTTCTTATCTGTCGTACATTTCATTAATAAATTATATTGGAAACCCAAACGAATCTAGCAGTGTTACATGATTTCTATATAATTTGCTTCATCTGGCTGCAGCATTAAACACAAAGATTCCTTTTTTATTTATTTTTGCACTGTTGTTACAAATATGCTGTGAGTGACATATCTATCTAGTTCCTATCTCAAAATCAGATGGTATGTTATGAAATATAGTGGCTGAGATAATTGCTATCCATTCTATCTTGGACGTAGGCGAGTCTGTTTTTCAATATTAGCAAGCTAATATTGAATAATAGCCAGTAATATATTAACAACACACAATAATGCAGATGAGATTTCATTCGAAAACCTTGATATGTTAATTTCTGCTCTCGACACAATCGATTAATAAAAAAATTACACTAGGTTTTTCTTTTCTTTTATGTAGGTGTACATAGCAGTGTTCCAGCCGTTACGTGTGTCCCGTCATCAATTCAGAAGAGTATTAAATTGCATGAAGGTCATTCGTCAGTTGAAGTATCAAGAAGTTTATGCACAAGAAAAAGTGACCAAAGTCGATTCTTTATCATTGGTGCTGTCGGGAAAGTAAGAACGATTTAAATGTATTCATTGTTACAAGAGTTTTATTTATTTATTAAAATTACGTTTTTCTTCTGACTCTTTTCAGATTAGTTGTCTCGCAAAATGGAAGAGCATTACATATTGTCTTCCCACATCAGTTCCTGGATTCCCCAGAATGGTTTGGTGTCTCGACAGATGAATACTTCCAGGTAAATGTTTTATCAAGCATCTATCATCGATACGGTATTTTTTTGTTCATCTTATCATTCCAATTAGATATCAATATAAACACTTGAAGTTGTATTATATTTGTTTAGGTGTCAATAACAGCTATGGAGGAGTCAAGGATATTATTATGGCATAGGGATAAACTAAAATTAAGCATAATTAGCGATCAATTCCTGCAGGCAGTGTTTGATCACATTCTGGGCAGGGATGTAGTTAAGAAATTGATGCAGGTAATTTTTTTCTTATTACACATTGAATTGGAATATTGCACTTGGCGTAGAACTATTGAAAGCGTATTTCTTTTCAAATCAGCTTTCAATTCATTTAATAGTCATGAAAAAGGTCAAATATTTGTGCTATTTAATCTTTGAGATTTTCTTTAAAGAATAATTTGAGTTTGTAAATAAAAAATTCCAATATATAAATGTATGCTGTTATATTTTTTGCAAATAGGTTAGTGAAACGATGGCTGCTAGCACTCATCAGCAGCAGAACGGACAGATAATTGGTTTAGGTGGAATTGGAGCCTTAGAAAATGACGCTGATACAAAACTTTTTGTTGTAAAGAAGACTGGTGACAGTCAAGGCATTACTGCTCTCATCAGTCGTCAACTTCAAGGTATGTGTGTGCGTGTGTGTGTTTATTTCTATTTACGATTTCTGTTTTTTTGTGATATCGCAGAATTTATCTAAAAATATGTACGATAAGATTTTTTTTTTCATTTTGTATTACTTTGAACTGGTTTTATCATTTATTTTCTTAATACATCGTGATACTATTTCTTCTTAAAACAAGAGACTATATATGTATAATCTGTATATTTAATTAATTTTTATGAATAATTTTCCTTTAGTTAGCAAATCGCACATTTTTCATCACAATTCAGGCATGTGCATGTCTTGCATCCAATTTCTTTTCAATTCGACTAATATTATTTCTTATTCTTTGCTCATTATATGCAACATACATACGTATATACGTATAAAATGAGACGAAAAACGTGGTGCAAGCGAATATATGATTCTTTGTTAAGAAAAATAAGTCCTCGAATTTTTTACAACCGTATTTTCTTTGAAATGTTCATATGATACTTTGTTTCTCACCTCTTTGCTCTGTATTTTTTTTAGTTTCTGTTACGTTATGTTAAACTTTGCAGCAATGTTTCATACAGATATCTACGTAATTGATTGTAGTTAAATAAATACAAAATGAGCATAAAAAATTTCAATCGTGCTTCTCTTAGTTTCGCAATTATGTTTTCCGTTTCAAAGTAATACAATTTTTTTGTCACACCTTTATTTATTATCGAAGTGTAGTATTAATATGTGTCATAGAGTCTTGTGTTTATTTATATGCACCTCTCTGTTTTATAATTTTGCATCAACTCTGATTTTGCCTTGGAAATATAGAAGAGAGAATGCCGTTGCTGTACACGACGCAAGAAGTGCTGAACAATACCTTACACCATACGAACTGCCCACACGTAGCACCTTGTACATTCCCCTCACATCCTATGTCGTACGATATTCAGTCTTCGCTGTAATATTATCCCTGCTGATTGTGCAACGCTCTAGCACAAAGTCATATGTGGTGTAAATGTCATGTTCCCGTAGTGGATGCATATTACACAAATGTCACAGCGTAACACCATTTATTCGTTTTGTCTGGGTATCGTATTGAGGTGAGTTTTCTACGCTTTCGAGAATTTTTATTCTTTATATAATAAATTCGAATTAGTGTCTATAAAAGCATAAGCATAACGGTTCGAGAAGCATTTTTTATGAAAAGTCGAGGATAATAAATTGAAAAGAGAAGAAATTATTTTTAAATATTTAGAGTCTTGCAAATCACATCTTTCAGTTTTGACTGACTTAGAAATATTATAAAGATACATTCTCTTCTAATATCAATTTTAAAGACGTAATATTTTTTGAATGAATCTATTTGAGGCTAAAGTCTGATTTTTACATTATGATGTAAATTATGATGATACATTGCAAAATATATCGAATCATCTTAAAAGATTTCTATCAATTTACAGCGGCAGGGGATCCAAATGCTTGGAGATTGGGAAGAATCGAAGAGACTGATCACGAAACACCCGTTTAATGGAATGATTGTTAAATCGATGTCATCCTCGACAGTCAATATAACGTAACACCGGTGTTTTTACATATTGCGATTACGGCAAGCTAATATTTATTGTGACTAAAAAAAAAACTATGGCACGTTGAAAGATGTGCATAGAACATTCTCTTGCCAATTGATAATTTTCCCAATGACTAGTCAAGCTGTATGCGATAATAAGAGAAAATTCCATCGTTTTGTAGCATATATATAATGAATTCCGCTCTAGTTTATAAAGCAACTAACAATAAGTTTATGCTTCCAGTATATTTGTTGAGTATGCTTGAGCATATTGAATTTATGAGTGGCTACATTTATGATTTACCTCGGTAAAAGTCATCATAGTGGATGAATATAACAGATTTTACAAGTATGCGGGTGAAATGAGGGTGACAACGTTCGCAGCGGCGTAACTTCTGTCAATGCGAGGTCTGTGATGTCGCGTGAGGGACATTTGTTAGAAGTGAAGGAGGCCTAAAGAAACTGATTCGTTCCCATACCCAGAAATAGTGCCTTTTTACTTACACTTCCTTTCTTAATGTTTTCATGGAGAAAATATGTATAATACTATAATTGCGCTACACATATTTTATACACACACTCACAGGACAGGTACACACGCGCGCGCGCCACACACACAGACACACAATATATACATATACACACAATATATTTATCCAATGTATCTAGTAGAATTCTCCAAATATCACTGTATTACATGTTCGAAGGTCCACGTTGTGATACTGATAAGCAACCAGTGTTCACAACTCAAAGAGGCACACGAAGTTACGCCATTAATTAATGCATTGAATGTTACGAAGAGTGTGAAGAATGTTGCGAAATTTGTATCGCCACATTGCTGCTAGACGCGTCGAATTGCGTGTACAACTTTCGACATATAACAAATTATTACAATAATGTTGTGATCATAATTATAGTGCGTTTGGAAATTATCATTGATTATTTTCATATTATTGTTTTGTTTGTTCGCGGACAGTGCATATGGCAGCGATTATATTGTGTAATTGAATAAGTGAAAGTAAATAATATTTACGATGTGTATATTCCGTAAAGAAAACTGAACTTATAATCACCCAAAAAATTAATAGCTTAACGATCGAGTCAATAGCTCACAACCCAAAGAAAATGAAAAGACAGTAATTGATAATGGAGCTTAAAGAAAAAAGAATCTCGGTTAAAATGTCTTCGTATAATTCAAAGGCGGTTGAATATATCGAAGGAGTAATCTTTTTGGAAGTAACTTTGTTCAATCTTCGAGAAAATATTGCATTAAAGATTAGAAAATTGTTGGTAAAAATTATCACGCCCATTTAAGGTTGTAATACATACTTTAAGAGAAGACTTTTTATATGTAAAAATCATAGAATCTGAACGTACAATATTCCATTTCAGGTATCGCCAATGTTTATCGCATAACGTAACACAATTATTCTCTATTAAGATATATACACACACCGCATATCCAGAATGACATTTTCAACTGGAAATATCATTTTACGTAGCGAAATACCAAAATGTAGGAATGCCTTTTGATATGTATAAATGTGGAACGCAGGACCATAAGATGTAACACCTTTTGCATACGATCCGTATAGAAAGAAAGAAGTGTATTACTTTTCATGAATGTGTATTATATGTTATTGTATCTTTGTTGTTTATCGTCTCTTATTGTTGTTATAATTATTTTTATACATAAAATTATTTTTAGTAGTTAGAGACAAAAAGAGAGTGGCTGATGAGATGGAGAAAACTTGAATCACATTGGATACAATAAGAATAAATATAAAGTGGCAGCGCGAATAAAGAAAGTTAGTTTTAGAGATGAAAGTAATTCTATTATGGCTCTTTACCCTATTTTCCTTCTTTTACCATTAGAGTCCATTATAAGAGTATATTAGATATTCAGATTTACTTAGTGAAAAATTATGTAACGTATACAGGAGGATATAAATGTGGATCATGATTTTAGTTTCATCGTTAAACATGTTTTTGTCAAAATTTATTAGATTCAATATGATGTAATAATGCATGATATAATATATTGTGCAAATTCTACAAATTCCGGACTGTATTCAGTCTTCTAAACTTGCGGAAGAAGAAATCATCACGACGATCAACATTAAGCTACCACTGAACAATAGTTTTAGAAATGCCATGCAAGTTTTCATTTTTTTGCTTAACAATTTAAAATATAAAACTATAAAGCTTATTTAAATTATAGAAATTTGTACTGAAATTTTACAAATGCAGTTTAGAAAAGAAAAAAATTTACAACATTTTGCTACACGTTTGTATGATGATAATAAACAGCATAGAATAGATAACATAGAAATATCTATAGCAAATTAAATATTTATAATTATTTTTATAATTTTTTATTTTTTTTTAGTACATAAAAAGTACAAATCCTAATTTGAAATAAATTAGTTTTTCCATAATAATTTGTAATTATATATTTCTTATATTGTTCTTTTCTTAAAACAATATTTTGAATAATCATGATTACAGTCTTTTCTTTTGTTACTGCATTTAAATTATTGAACACGATGGCAATTAAGTATTATTCTAAAAATAAACTGATAAAATACATAATTTAAAAAAATATATTTCCTTATTTATTCTCATAAACATTTTTCCAACATGTTTTTTTATAGTATTACATAATTTTAAGTGTCAATTATTTATAACATACGTTTGTAATATTTAAAAAATAAAATTATACATTTAAATGATAAAAAGCAGAAACAATTAGGAATTTAATTATACATAAATTAATATAAATTGACACAAATAAAAAAACAACAATATAAAGATAACAAAAAAAACAAACAATTTTCAATGCATGTAGATACATTTACTATAGATTGCAGATCATTGACAATTAAGTCGTGCTCACTTTTCTAAGTTAGAACCCGAAATATTGTATGTACTTTTGGTATGTGCGTTCCAATTGCAATTGCCGCAAATTTATTTTCATTAAAATATCTTCAAGCGCTTGCTTTGTAACATTGGAATTCATCATGAACTTTTCATCGACAAAAATTGATGTACTATTCTGCGTTAGATGAAGTTTCGCGAAATCTTTTATCTGTAATAAATTATTTAGATTTTTATTGCTAATAATATAATTCCACACAATAACAATTCTATATGACACAACATTCTGGCTTTCAATAGTTGAAAAATGACATATTTGTAATTTGCAAAACATATGGCATGTATATATAAATAAGTAACTTTAATAAGGAAAACTAATAAACAAGTTGATATTTGTATTTATAAAACTTGCCTTATCAAATTGCCGATTTGTATAAAGGTTGTTAATAATAACGCATAATAATGCAAGCCTATTTATTTTGCTAAAAAAAAAAACAAAAAACAATTAGACTATTTATCAATAATTTTTATGATGTATTGTTAACAGTATATTTTTTTATAAAAAACAATGGTATTACCTAAGTTGTATGCGCTCAAATTTACTTAATATCTCCACAAGTACTACATCTTTATTTGCCTGCTTAACAATAATAGAAAGAATTATTTCAATATCGGCGTTGTTTATTGCTGCCTGCAAATAATTTAAAATAATATCAGAAATGTTGCTGCATGGTAAAGCAATTTGCAAAAGTCTTTTCACATATGGAAGTTCATCTTGAGAGATCACTAATACATTATTCCAAGTTTCCCGATCTGCCTTTACTAAACCATTGCAGAATGTCCAAACTGTCCATTCTGCTGAATACCTACATTTAAAAAAAATTTAATTATAATCAACATTACGTATATTCTTTATAATTTCATGCTTCAATCACAATTTATCAGAAATCTTGCGAGAAGTTAAAATATGTTTGCAATAAAGCATGGTTACAAAAAATTTACTTCTTTTTCTCTAATGGTGTAGAATTTGCGATATGTTCAAGCAAAATTTTTAAATGATGCGTAGCATTAGAAAAACATGCTGGACTTTCAAAAATACATGCCCATCTTATAGCTTCCAGCCTTAAACTTTTAATAAGTGTACTCTCGTCATTTATGTCTCTTTCTCTGTATTCTAAATAATTTATCTCCAAAAGTAAATCGAAAGTTTTCGTCATCATATGCTAAAATATGTTAAGTATATCAGTTGTTAATATAATAATTTTTACATGTACTTGTATTTTTTAATAAAAAAATAATCTTTGTTAAAATGTATGTCAGAATAAAGTCCTTTACGTTATTAATTACATGCCATGCTTCCAAATTTTCTCGATCTTAATTTTAATGTTAAATTAAGTAATACTTTTTATTAAAATATCTGCTATTATGTACCGTAAAATTAGACAATTTTTGGTCAGACTTAAATGCAAGGATACTCGACATGTATTCGAGAGCTTTAAACATAGGATACCATGCTATGTAGTCTGTTTCTCGCCATAGATATTTCGTTAGTCTCCAAAACAAGTCAGGAGGAAACTTTTGTGTAATCATAAAGTTAAACGAGTCGTCGATAAGTTGAGCACGATTGAGAACGTGTATTTTATCGTAATTTTCAGAATTCATATAATTGATAATATGCAACCAGTTCAAAAGATCATAATTAACACGATAGTATCCTGTTGTAAAGTAAATAAAATTTTTTTAATTGTTACAGCTTGCGTATGTTGTTGATTTTATTTACCGAAAAATATATTCGTATCCGAATTATTTTTATCTTACAACATCTTACGTAAATTCATTAATGTTTTTTTCGAAAAACACAGCTTTCATTTAATCAAAAACTAATTAATCATATATTTGCAAATAATTAACATCTTATTGGCTACGCTGTATACAATAAACAGTAGGTCCGTCTTTATTTGATCAAAATAGTCTCTTGTTTAATATAATCCTTGTTTACTGCAATACATACTAATTGTAAACAAAATTAATTTATCGTTAAAAATTTACCTGCTTGCTGTGAGTTAACTATAATCCAATCAGATGCAGGAATCCCAAATATAAAAACCATGTTTTGAAATGGTGTTAGCCATGTGACTCCATTGCAAACGTGTGCCAAATAAAAATAATTTTGCGTAACAAAAGTAACAGGTATAAGCAACTTGTTCTCAATGTAGATATTCTGTTCACTTTGAGAATAATCTGCCTGTATTGACACTGCGCCCTCATAAGTTCGTGTCACATTTAACACAGGAGGTGGTTGCGTTATCCAAGTGTTTATTAGATATTTTAATGGAAGAATGATGGACGAGCATTTTGTCTTATTTATATAATTAAATATTATTGTCTCTACAACATGTTGCATATGATACCAATAATCCTCCAGAGTTGAATTACTGTAACAGTAGTTATAGTAAATTAGACTTGATATATTAGATAGGTATAATATTAACTTTTGACATCAATATCGACATATAATTGATTTTTAATGTATTGCATAAAAAATATAAATTTGTGATACATTATCAATAAATATATATATTTATTTATTATTTTATTCAAAATTTATTCTTATATTTCTTTTATGCCATGCTACTTTGTTTGTAGCATTGCACATTTAAATTTATTGTTTATTGGACAGTAAAATAATATTAGAAGTTATGTTTTTAAAACGGTGACTCTTTTCTGTTCAGTTTACTCTCCTCTACCCGTTCACGAGTGTTAGTCCGATTATTCTGAAATATCATATGCATACACACACGTATATGTGCGCGCACGTGGTAAAATAAAACAGCGAATAAAAATTGCAGATCAATTTTTAATAAGCCGTTTTAAGAATTAAATCCCATTTTTTAAACCGCTTTATTAAAAATTGCAATTTTTTTTTGCAACTACATAATCGGAAACATCTTTGAGGAAAATTTATGAAAGTAAAAGGAAAGATTTTGCTCTTTAAAATGACGACAGAAAACTTGTTGTACAATTTTTTTTGTAAAGTTATACCAGTTTAACAATCGACAATTTTTTGCAAAAATTTAGTGATGCTTTAATTTTGTTGTTTAATATATTGATAAGTTTTCTCAATAATTTGGAGCATAATTTTTTGCGACTAAATTATCTAGAAATATTATTATTTCTAAGTTAAAATTTTAGTATTACGTATTTAGTATACAAAATATTGAATTGGAATTATTTGCAGTTATAAAAAAAAATATTTGCATGTAATTACAAAATTATCCTTTGTTGTCAAAAAATGTTTGATAGCATAAAATTCGTGCATGAAAAATTATTCCGTTCCGTAAAGCTGATCGAGATATATCAGCATATTTATGTCATATTGCTTGTATATTAATATCTTCTAAGCATGCAAACAAGAATTGTTACTTCGTTCTTATAATTTATTTTATAACGTGTAGTTATAACTCACTTTTCATATTTGTTGGTAAAATTGTCGAAGAATATATTTTCATGGAGCACTTGCTGTGTCATGCGCAGTATGAATGGTACTACAAAAATTAAAATAAAAGTATACTATTAAACATGTAAAATAAGGTAGACTTTTACTGTAACCGTTCATTGTAAATTTCGGTAAAATAAAATTTTATCGTAGCATCCTTAAATTTGAGAAAATAATGATTCTAGTATTAAACAAATAAATTATTTCTTACAACAAAGCAAAATTAAAAAATGTAAATAACTCTGGAAATAAATAAAATAATATGTACAATAAAGCCTTTTCATTATTTTATTCCCACATTCAAAGATTTATAGTTAATTCTTTAATAAAACATATTTATTTATTTTTACCTTTCATGTAACGAAGAAAAAAAAGAACTAAATCAGAGGAATTATTTGTTTCTGATGCTAGAAGATTCATTATTAAATCAGTATCCAAACGAAGAGATTCGTGTTGAGTTTGAACTATTAACAGATCCGTCATCCGTGCAGTTGGGTAAACCTGTAGAAAAAACCAATATTACTTTACAAAATTAAATTAATTTTTTATTGAAAAAGATGCTATTATTAATAAAGTTATTGGTATTATGATAAAATATATTAATGATTTCACTTGCTACCAAAAAAGAATTAATTTTTTATCATTTTTTTCTTTCAGTATAAAAATATACTAAACCCAAAATAATGCAATATAATTATTTATAAATAAAATTGTTTAAAAGACATTCTAATTAAATTCATAAATTTTTGCAGGAATTTTAAAATTAATTTGAAGCATTAATTGAACAAATTGTAAAAATTTGTAACAAATCAATGTACTAACAGATTTTAACAAATTTATAAAAATTTAATATGAATTTTATATCTTTATAATATTTTCATAATATCATAATATCTTTTTTTTAGATGAGTAAACTATCTAGCTTTTTCTATAGTTTAAAAACAACCTGGTCGACGATATATGCTTCGAGTAAGACAGCTAGACTTTCTTTTAACCACATATCAGACCAATATGGTTTAAGAAAATAATCAAGAAATGAATGGCCCACTGCACGGCCAATTAAACGCAGCATATTACTTTGATGCGCACCGGGATCGAAATCTGGATCGTAGATCAAGTCTGCTTCTCTGAAAAATTTTAAATAAATTTTCATCATAAAAAGAGTAAATCAGTATAATTTTTAATTCTGCATATTTAATCATATTGAAAATATTATTTGAATCGTTAACTCGACAATGTGTAAATAACATCTTGTTCGAAATGTTATAAACAATTACAAAAAAATTTGACAAATTTTATTAGACAAACAGTAAATCTTTTTTATGTAAACAATCAATGTTCAGTTATGCTATCATCAACACACCAAAATGCTTTGTTTTCAAAAAAAAGCATTGTCTTTAAAATATATTATATTTTAATTATCCCACAACGTACCTTTTTATATTTAAAAGATAATATTGTCATAATATTTTTCAATATTTTGAAAAAAAAACAATATAATCTGCTTCTATCAATTATACACTTTTTTTATTCTGCACTAACATAAAAATAAGATCACAAAAAGAAATAAATGTGCTGTTTTACGGCTATTATACAGGATGTTTTATAATGTCCGTGCCAACGCTCGTGTACGGATAGAGTGCGGTAAACTGAATAGAAAAGTCCTTTACCGTTTTGCAATTTTCGCAATAGTAATTGAGATATGAATTAAAAGGGATTGACAAATAATCGCGCGTTGATCGCGGCTAGATCGTAGGCTGTACGCTCTAGGCGTGACAGCAATGAAAATCGCATGGCAACGAAAAATAACAACGCATATCACTCCTGCTCTCGCTACGTGTTATTTTTCGTTGCCATGCGATCCTCGTGTTGTTACGTTTAGAGTGTACAGCCCACGATCTAGCTACGCGCAACGCGCGATTATTCGTCAATCCCTTTTAATTAATATCTCAATTACTATTGCGAAAATTGCAAAACGGTAAAGGACTTTTCTATTCAGTTTACCGCACTCTATCCGTACACAAGCATTGGCACGGACTTTATAAAACACCCAGTATATACTTACCCTAAAGTTGCTCCGCCGGTGTCCAATGCTGTTCCTGAATCTCCCCCTTCTTACTGTTCTTTTTACAGTCCTACAAGGCACTCACACGCATTAGCAACACAAATATGAAAATCGCACAATGTTTTAAACGGCACTCACGACGCGTACTTTCTCATAATAGAAGAAAAGTAAAACTTGCACGGATTATTGTCGCACGGATTGCACGTTCGACATTCTGCCTCTTCCGCAACAAGTAAGTAACGACGGAAAGAGTAAGATTGAAAACTACGAAAAATAATAAGGATTGTACTTTTGGAGAGGATAACGTACCGATACAGAATGATCTGTTTCGTACGAAGTACTACCGTACGAATAATAAGAATGCAATGAACATATTATAGACAAAGTCGAGTTGTTCTTGATATGTTTATCTCTTATTACATGCACGACACACTTCAGATCGTTCCGTATTACTTAACGCGTTATTCTCTTCAATAGTGCCATCCTTATTATTTTCTGCAGTTTTCGAGCTCATCCTTTCATCGTTACGGATGCAGCAAAGTGTCGAACGTGTAATCCATGCGAGTTTTACTTTTGTCCTAACGTGACAAAGTACGCGTCGGAAGTGCTGTTTAAAACATCGTGCAATTTTCATATTCGCGTCGCGCACAAGTGTGAATGTCTTGAAGAACTTGCAAAAAGAATAGAAAAAAGAAACGAGTTCAGGAAGAACATTAGATGCCGGCGAAGCAACTTTAGGATAAGTAATCATTTGTTTGTTGTCTATTATTTACAAAAATATTGCACGTAAAATATTATGTAATGTAATGCACATATTCAGTAAAATATTTGCAATTTTTGATATTTTTAGATTTAAATTATTTATAGATATAAATACATAAATCTTGTATTAGATATTAGTATAAATAATAAGTAAAAGTTAAATGTACGCAATAATAATCTTTCAAAGAGAGAATTATTTTAAACGCTGCTATAATTAAAATGTATTTTGTATGTTACAGATCAATTTGGAAATTCCGCTGCTGTGCATCATGCCGATAAGTCAATCCAATTTGTTAAATTTTAATATCACTCAAAAAAATGATCTTGCAATAATAACTAAAATTTTCTAGGTGTAAAAAATTAACTAAAACAGATAAATGATTAGCAACTGTTGTGATATTGCATATGTAATTACTTAATCAGTTTAGATGACAGAAACAGAATATATATCTGTATTGTTTGTGAACTTTAAAAAGAAAGTTTCTCTAAAGCGCCTATCTATATAAGATCAATCACGTGTTAGATCATGCAATGAATAACATTTAGCAATGGTACCTAAATTTTTCAGAAGCTATTGCTAGAACATTACTGCTATAAATTCTGTATGTGACAAACAATGTTTTCACAGATACGAAAAATAGCGATACATTCTTGTTGCGATATCTAGAAATCTAACTACATCAGCG